TTTTTTTTTTTAATATATATATATATATATATATAATAGATTATTCATATTAGCTTGGTAAAATGCTTTAGGCAAAATAGCATGTATTTTTTTAATTTCTTCAATATAAATAATTTCTTTGAAATGTTAATAGAACCCCTCTTCCCTTTCTAAGTATAGTGCTAAGATTTAGCTCTGCTACTTTTTAACTTGTGATTAACGTGAATACATTATGATAAACATTTTATCTTCATTGCATCATTTAATGCACTTCCTTTGCTTTTAGCTTAATTATAGAACCCGTCCAGGCAGCATAAATAACATTTCATGGTGGAAGTTTGTTATATCTTTTATTTCTTCCTTTTCTTTTTCTGTTTATATATATAGGACTTTCATCAGCTGTATAACACTAGCATGCTTTTGTTAAAACAATTTTAGAGCTATGGTTTACGTAATTCCCTTTTAGATAGGTGTAGCTTGTAAACATTATTCTCTTGTCCACCTATTGCTTTAACTCCCTTGATCCTGTTGTAATGATGTGGTATTCACAAAGAACTGACTTTTCTGGTTTTATTTCCATTTGCTTTTATTTTTTAACATAATTTGCTGGATGGCATTCTGTACTTTAACTTTGCACAATACGTGATTAGATTACATCCCATTTCTTCCTTTTATTTATTAATTTTTTTAAACTGAAAAACTTCTGCTTTTTGCTGATTTTAGGTACTTTAGAAGGTAATATTACTGTTAGCATATTAATTTTAAGAAATACATGCTGAAAAGTATATTTTGCATGCAAAAGAAAGCAGTTTACTTAAAAATTACAATTAATAGTTTATTTTAACGGTACAATTTTAAGTATTAAAATTGATGTCCCACAAAATTTCTTTTCTTTATTAAAATAATTTTATGCTTTTGCTTTTATTTTTGTTAATGAAACTATAATTCAGTCAGTTTAAGAAGGTCTTTGATTACATATATATGTTCAGTTTTTAATCAAAATTTTGTGTAAGGTATCAGAATAATTAAAAAAATGAAATTTGTTAACCATTATGCTGTTATACATCTGCACATAAGCTTGCCATCTAGCAAATAATTGCATGCATTTTTATTTTTATTCTGTTGGTTTATTATTGTGTTTCCTGTTCTAATTTTACAATTGCAGAAGTGTATTATTAATTTTTTTTGCATTATTATTGTTAACATGTTTTGCTTTATTAGCTATTTATTGGGTAAACTACTAATTGTAACAGTTTTGCATAGTGCATGTTTTAACTTTTGCTGTAGAAGTAAAGTTTTTCAAGTTGCTAACTACTGCATGTTTTGAAACTAGTGGCCACTTGAATCATAAAAAGTATTTTTTAAAACTATATTATAGAGCCAAACCCAGCTGCTGTGTTTTTCTAATTCAGTAGTGCTCATTCCTATTCTCTCAGATTAATCAGTAGTTTATTTGATTGATGTCTGTTGTGTGGTTGCACTAAAATGCATTTTTATTTCTAAAATCTAAAATATCAAAAGCAGTTAGATCTAAAATATCTAACTGTTTTAGATTCAAAATGTCAAAAACAGTGTTAATTATGTATAAGTACTTTAAATACATGTATTATATATATATATATATATATATATATATAGTAGAATAACTCGATTTCGCACTAAGTGAATTTAAGATCATATAACATTATATATACAATATGTATATGTATATATATATATGGTGAATCTTCTCATGGTTAACAAACATTTCTGAAAATGAGAATATATCTGGTAGTATAAATGGACATCAAAATTGAATATCATATTTCTAAAATAACCACATTCACAGAAGGCCAAATTCATTTGGAATTTTGGGTGACATCTTAGAGATTTGTTACCTGTATATGAAAATACTTGTAATGAGTTAGCAATTAATATAGATGCTGCTATTATTAATATCACAAAAAGTTAAAACAGTAAGAATATGCTTGTAGATGCTGCTAGTATCATAAATAGTTAAAATAGTGAGAATGATAGATTGGGGTGGAATGATGGCCCAGTAAAAAAATTTAAAAAATAATAATAAATAAGTGATAAGAATTGGAATAAACACTGAGTATAATATGTAAAAAAAATCATGCAGGGAAACTGTGTTGGGGCAAAGTACTGGTTAATACTCAGCTGTGTGATTGATTGGGCTAAGCTATTGGTGCAGTTGCAAGGACCAATCAGTTTGGTGTATATAAAAAATATGCACTGTGTGATAGAGAATTTTATGAAAATTTTTTTGGTGCTTGAAGAAGAACATTTTTAAAATGTAGAACTTGACATTTTGTATGATCTGCATAAATCAAGAAGGTTCAAATAACAAAATATTAGCAATGCTTTAAAAAACTAAATGCTAGAGAGTTTTTTCAATCCCCCCCCCCAAAAAAAAAGTCAACTTAGAACTGTGGTTCTGAACCTGTTTTGTTCCATGCATCCCTTTCACCATCACCAGATCATCTCCACCTTTCTTCCAAAATGTGAAAAATACATACATTTATTTAGATTTACATTTTTTAATGTGTTTTATAAACATCAGAAAGTATAAAAAATGTTGATAAATACAGGAACTTGGAAAAAAAGTAGCTTTTTTAGATATGTAAAAAACTAAATACTTAGCTAAAAAGGCTGATTGCATTCTCCTGAAACTATGAATTGCTCCTGTAATTGAGAAACCTTCACTAAAACATCTCTAAACCTGTTATGATAATTCAAGTGTCATTTGTACAGTGATTATAAAATTCAAAATTTTGTCTTCTTACTAATTTAATTTAAAAAAAAGAAACGTCATCAGCTTTAAAATGTATCTAGCTGTTTATTTTTTTTAGGGGAAAGAGATAAAAAATTAACACCAAACTTATGAATCAAAGAGTCTATTATTCAAATTTTGCAGTTTCATGTCGGGCAAAAAATCTGATGTGGACACTACATGACTTCATTATATGGCATATTAAATTACACACATTTTTTTTTCCCGCACTTCATTTGAACTTATTTCCTCAGAAATGGCAAATTTTGAAATTAAATATCCTGGTCAATTTTTGTGTATGGTAGACAAAATTTTCTTACGTTTATTTTTTTATATTGAGCTTAAAACTTTCCCAAATATAAGTATAGGAACTGGGAGACTGCATTTAAATTTTAGATTTGCCCAAAATTAATTATTATTATTATTTAATCAGACACATCCAAAATAATTCATTTAAAATTTTCTGTAATTGGAAGTATATAACTATGAACAATGATTGCAAAAATAAAGGACTACCCAGGTAAAGGGTGGGTATATATATGTGCTTTTGGTACTGCATATATATGTGCTTTTGGTACTGCCAAATGCAATGAAAAGGGGAGGTGAGCAACTAGATGTATCAGTCTCATATACAGAATTTCAATGTTCTATGGCTAATCATTTTTTTGTTGTGTGAGATACTTTATACATGTATGTACAGACATCATGAATAAATACATTTTGATTCCATTTCATAATCTGTTTTGGAATAAAGATTCCTCTCTTCTATTTGTACATACACATGTCGTGCTAGAAATGGATGGTCAGAATTGATACTTCTGTTGCAATCTGATAAAAAATTTTTCTGATTATAATACTTCCTTTACTTCATAGAAGGAAATAAAAAGCAGAATTAAAGCAATGCATGTCACGGAATATTTATTTTAAGGAAAAGTTTTCGCAGGAAATTGCACTAGTGAAGTGACTAAAAACATCATTATTTGAGTGTTTTCATCTTTTTACTCATGCATGTACATATAAATTTAAGTAAATAGTTTTAAGTGATTATTGCATATTTTTTGTCATTTTTCCTTTGGTTATTTAGATTATTAATTATATTTGCAATAATAAATTTTAATTAACATGGAATTTTTTTTTAAATTTTTATCCTGGTCTTTTAAGAAGTTTGGGTGCTTTCCTGTTATGCCAAGAAATGTCTTACTGAAAAATGGAAATTGGCATGTTCATCCTTAACAAGAAGGGATGATTTATCAGTATACATGAGCAACTTATTCAGTAGCTATCTGTGTTACACAGTTTATTTAATATTAGCGTGCAGAAGCAATTTCAATTTGTATTTATTATTTTAGTTAATTGTTATTTATTGTAAGTGTATTGTATTGTTTATGTATTGTAAGCAGTTTATTTAAACCTCTGAGCATCATAATCGGCTTTATCCGGTCATCAGAAGTTTTGCTACTTGGCATATATTAACTTATAATTTAAAATTATAAGCTAAGAACTAAAATAATAAATGCTGTTTAAATACCAGCCATCATGACGGATCTAAACTCATGCGTCGCTGAGAGGGCTAAATAAAATAAATGGTATTAAGAAACATATCTGAAATTCATTGCGAAGAGACACTTTCTAGTTGCCTTAGTTCAGCAGTTGCTGCTAATAATTTGTGAAAAATATCACATCCGATCTGATGCCCGATCATAAATTCTTCTAGCTAGGTAAAACTCCAGATGATTTCAAGTCATTTTTCTGTGCTATTTGTCCATCATTTGGCTGATTCCTAATGATGCATATGTGCAGCAACTATCTGTTTCTTGCCAAGGCTGAAATGTGCCAATTCCCATTTCTCACATGGCGATTGTAAAAAAAACTTACCTGAAGTTTGTTATATTGTTAATGCCATTGTTATATTGTTAATGCCATATCTCTTTCAGAATCAGTATTTTCATATTTTTGTTTATATTTAATAAGCCACTTAAATTTCTTATTGTTTAGCTATTTTTATTTATTTAGTACTTCCTTGTTAAAGTAAAGACTTCATAAACCTAAGGGACATTTGAAATTTTCTCATTACAAATTATGCGGTTAAATTTATCAGTTCGGCAATTAAGCCTGAAGGCCACTTTAACAAGGAAATACCTAATAGTTTATAAACTAGGTTCAGGAAATAAAAAATTTGTTCAATAATTTTTTTATTGTATTTGTTTTTAGACTTATTTATAAACAAAATGAAAATTTTTCTTCACAGATGAATGGTTTTTTACAGGCTACAACTACACCATATTTACCAGCAATGGCTGCAGCATCTACCTTCAGCCCATATCTTGGGCACACTCCTATGATGACCGGCCTTATGCCAGCAGATGCACTCACTTCACCGTTGAGTTTAGTTCCCTCACCTTTGGTGACTGCTGCTCAGAAATTACAAAGGACTGACAGATTAGAGGTTTGCTTTTTAGAATAGTTTTTGCTGAAGAATTGATTTTTATACTATGAAAGAGGCATGCCCCCCCCCCCCGCAATTTATGCCTGTAATTCAAGCTGAACATCTTATCGTAGTATATGTATAATTTTTCTGATGTTGTGGTTCCTTTACCTAGTTTATGCCTACTTATTGGAAATGTTGTTATTAATCCAACTTAATGCATGCTATCTGAAATATAAATAATGAATTAAAAAATTTCATATTTTTATTTCTGAAAGTTTCATAAAGTTGACTGCTTATTTAACAGACTATCCTCCATTTCCCTATTCTTTGTCATATATTGAAATATGTATTTAAAGGAGATTTTAAAATTATATATGAATTTATCTGTGAAAATATTTTTGTTTCATTTGAAGAAAAATATTCAGAATTCTTCCCTATTTCCTCTCATTTTTTTAAATGGAATATCGTATTTTAAAATTAAAGGGAGCTACTTCCTATCCGTGAAAATAGATGAATGGTGTTGTTACTAATGAATGTAACTGCATGACACCAGTTAATAATTTTCCATTTAAATTTCTCATTTTCATCAACGTCGTTGGAGCTAATAAATCTCCTTTACAGTGCTGATCTTTAAATTTTCGTGGGACAGTTTTCTTAAGTTTAACAATATTATCATATTGCAAGAAGCTTTTGTAATAAAAACTTTTTAAATTCACTATATGAGAAATCAGACAGTAGCTGTCAACTTTTGCCTTATGCATTCACATAAATTTTTTCCATGAACAACATTTTTAAGAGAAAATATTCAAACACTTAAGTACTTGAAAACATTTTTATCACCTGGAAAAAGTTTATAATAATTCCTTTAGCCTATTATTAAGACAAAAACCTCACTAACCTCACTCGATGTCCTTAATCCCATAGAGAAAAATTTGCAAAAGGTTGGGAATTTTAGTCTATTGCTAAGAAAGTAATTGTTTTATTAGAAACCAAAAGCTAATTTTATAAAATTTATATGTTATATTAGAAATTTTTCATGAACTTTGGATAGAGGAAGTAGTATGGAAGTAAACATTTTCATTCTTAGTGTTAAAATATATGTATTTATCAGAAGTTACGTATTGCATAAATTATTAGAATTTCTGTTAATTATTACAGTATTTGGCTGAAGTCTGTTGCAGTAGTTTATTATTTTAGTTTTTTGTATCACTTGCACATTTCTTTATGGTAATTTCTTCATTGTATGTTTATTACTTGCTGTTGCTATGCATGCAGTTGTGTTTTTGTGCAATAGGCTGAAACTGTGCCTTTGCTTAAATCTTGGTAGCCCTATTCTTATATGTAGATTGTCGGTGCTATTCAGCTTTCTAGCACAGCCTTCTGAATGGTGGCTTCTGCTTTGCTTTCTCCTTCAGGTGTGTCGTGAGTTCCAACGTGGCAACTGCAAGCGCTCCGAGACAGAGTGTCGCTTCGCTCATCCTCCTGAGCATGTGACTGTGGACAGTAGTGAAGGCACAGTGACGGTGTGCATGGATTTTGTGAAGGGGCGCTGCACGCGAGACCAGTGCCGTTATTTCCATCCACCGGCCCATTTGCAAGCGCAGCTGAAAGCCGCTCAGACTCGTGCCAGTGCGGCTGCAGTGGTAGGCTTTTCTCCCTCTGCTCAGTCTGCTTCAGAAAACACACTGCTTAACATTTGCTTTGGATGTAACAAAAGTTTCTGGAATGGCTCTATTAAATGACTGAAGAAAACTAAGTTTAAATTTGTCCAAAAACATAAGTCTGTGTATATATATGTTTTCATTATTTTAACTTTATGAAGCATTTTATTTGTCTCTTAAAGTTGAGGACCAGTTGCAAATGATATAATGTAAACAAAATCCATTGTTTTAATTGTCATAATGTGTAAAATAATGTAAGCAAAATTCTTTAGTTACCACATGTTACACTGGAAAAACGAGTCTCAGATTTTCTGAAATTATTAATATAGTATAGTTTCTTAATATAATTACTCTTATAATTTATTTAATAATTATGTTCAGCAAAATAGAGGTCATACTTTGCATGTTGCTGTTAAAAAAATAACGCTTCTTTAATGTGTAAATAGCAAGTGTATAAAATGAATATAGTTAGTCTATTTTATTTATTAATTCTATTAAGATATATATTTACATGCTTATGTATAAAAATGAAGCTTCTTTATATTACTTTAAGAATTACTGTGCATTACATTTGCATTTACTTTGGTTTAGGTTTTATTTGCTGTAACAAACTGACTGACTGTTAGGTTAGAGAGCTTTCTTAAGTGCTAATCTGGAAAATAATAATATTTTTCTGGAAGTATGTGTTATAGATATGTTTGTAAAAAAAGATTCTAAATAAATGGGGTTGCTGTGTAAGTAATTCATCTGAATGTGAAATTTGATCTGATTTAGTTACAGCAGTTTTGAATAACTCTTAATAATTATTTTCTGTAGTTAAAGGTGTAACTGCAGAAAGTAGTGAATGATCATATTTATTTATATCTATTTATTTATTATACTTACATTATATTTATGACTATTACATGTCTTAATGGTAAAAATTTACATATTTAATTTATAATTATGAGCTTTTACTTTGATACTTACTAAGCAGAATTACTCTTAAGTGGGCTGTATATTGGTGTAAATTCATCCCTACAGGTATAAGGTAATATGAAATAAGTAATTCTCCTTGTTTAATATGATGGGAAGGAAAAGTTGGATCCTCCTAGACTCTGCCTTCTGAAAGTTAAGGAAGAGCATGTTTTTCAAAGCTCACCATTACAAAAATGTCAGTAACGTTTAAATTCACAGTTCATATACATGACAGTAATGAAGTTTAAGAAACTAAATGCAAAAACAATAGCTACAACTTTTATTTTAAAGAAATAAATTCTTATATAGAAGTTGGAGAAAAAATGCAAAAATTGTAATTTTTGTTTATGAGTGTTGATCTTGAGTTGTTATTACAATTCCGTGGACAATATCCAGGAAATTCATTTACCCGATTCGTGCGGGCAATTGAATGGATGGAAACGGAGATATCATTGCTGCTAGACATTTCAGTGTCTCTAATAGTGTGGTCCATCGACTATGGAATAAATTTGAATCCCAGGATTCTGTGTCTAGAAGACATGTTTGGCGTGAAGAAGGAGTAACATTACTGTGCCTCAGCTCATGGCAGATCATTTAGTGAAAACAGGAACAAGAATCTCTAGCTACTACAGTACTATTGTGCAGATGCCTGAACAATAAGGTCTGTATGCAAGATGACCAGTTGTTTGTGTCCCCTTGAACCGAGGACTCGGAGGTGCCCATTTATGTTGGGCAAGAGACACATCTCCGGGACCAGTCAACAATGGACATATGTTCTCTTCACAGATGAGTACAGGTTCACATTGAAGAGTGATTCAGGTTGTCAGCTGATCTGGAAGAAATAACGCACCAGATATAACCAATCCCACATTGTGGAAAGATGCAGTTACAGAGGTGTTGGAATAATGGTTTGGGCTGGGATCTCTCTCGGTGGTCACACTGACTTGCATGTGCCATGGAGGAACTTTGACTGGTGTGAGATATCAAGGCGAGATATGTGATCATTATGTCCACCCATATGCCACTGCTATTGGTCCTGGATTTCTTCTGATGGATGACAATGCGCATTGAGCCCGGGTTGCTGAAGAATGTTTTGAGGGTCACAGCATGGAGTGGAAGGAATAACCAGCTCAATCCCCAGATCTGAATCCTATAGAGCATCTTTGGCACTACCTTGCGAGACAGGTTGCTGCTTTTAAGTACTCCTCCGGGGTCGTTAGATGAGTTTGAACAAGGATTACACCATGTCTAGTCGTTGCTTCCCATTTCACTGACCGACAACATCATTGACAGCGTGGAATGTCACTGCCGCCAATGTATTGTGGTTAAGGGTAGACACATTCCTTATTAGAATCCATTTTTGTAATGTTACCACAAAGTTTTTCCTCGAAAAACTGATATACTGTTTCTCCAAGACTGGATTTCTCTGCCAAGTGTAAATTTTTTGTTGCAATTCATGTTTGTGTTGAAATTTAAGGAACATTCTAAGTCAGATTCATTAAATAATTGTTTAGTGAACATCTCCTGTAAATTTCTTGTGTCGATGCTGCTTCATTTTTAAATTAGACAAAAAAACAAAAAAAAAAAAAAAAAAAAAAAAAAACCCCGCTCCTTAACGTTTGGAGGGCAGTGTATTTTCCTTTTACTGCTAAGAAATTTGACTATTAGTTTCTAGTTTTAGTAATAGTCTTCTGTCTGGAATACTGCCAAGTAAATCGTAGGCCATTAGCAAACCTTTTCCATGTTTTCTTTATTGAAATTTCTGAGTTGCTCTTTCTGTGTAATATAAACTTAAATAGTTGAAATGTGTCAATTAGCATAGATACTTGAAATAATCTCCTGAATTGTTCTGTTCAGTGTCTTTACTTATAATAATGTGATCATTTAGTTTTGCTGTAAAATATGTTATTTGTTTCTGAAGAACGGAAGAATGTAGAAAAGTTGGGCATGATTGGTTTACAATTTTACTGTAGGAAATAGACTCAAGTTCTTTTGAAAGTTATCTATGATTTCTGCATTACAAATTCACAAAATATGCACTTATCTTCTTTTTCCTTTAAAAAAGGGAAAAAAGATTTGAAAAGAAACTTTTGAAACTTGAGTATTTTGTTGATGCAATTTTATATCTGGTTAGATCTAAAGATGTGACTTGTGAACGTCACAGTATAATACGAATTTCTGCAATTTTCTTTAATTTTGATTTCTGTAATTTCAGAAAATGACATGCATTTTTTTATTATTCTTGTTCCTTTGTTCTTAAATGTAATTTAGGAACTTTTTTATAGACACTGCTCTCTCTCTTTTTTAGTCCTAGAAATGCTTATAGTGGATTTTGAAATGGCATTATATTATCAGACGATTTATCATCTGTGCAAACTGGCAAGTGAATGGTATAATTCATAGCGACAAATTTCAAATTATAACAAAAAATTGGGAGTTCTTAAAGAAAATAATTAATTTATTTACATTTTTGTTTTAATTCTGAATAACTTACTGACATAACCTAAAATATATTTAATCTGTCATAAATTTTGTGGCATTTTTATAATTTATAAGAGATGTTTCTTACATCATATATTATGTACCTCCATATGGAATATTTGAAATTGTTTAATATTGCTGTGCTTAAAATATTCATTAAACTTTAATGAGGTAAAAATTCCATGTAGTAAACCCTTGTTGAATGTGGACTTGCTTGATACAGTTTCGCTTGTATGCATTATCTTAACTTTCTCTATTTAATTTGTCTAACATAAGAATTTCAATCAAATGCAGTACACTGCTGAGTGTAAGCCCTGTTGTATAGTCCTCTTTAATAATTGGTTTGAAAATTCATTCATTGAAGAAGTCAAACATTACTTAGAAAAGCATAACTTGAGCTTTAAAGTTCTTCTAATTCTTAATAATGCTCCAAAGCACTATACTGAAGCCCTAACAGCGTTGCATCCAAGTGCAGGGGCTTTATTCAATGATGGATCAAGAAATCAATAACATTCACAGCCTACTATGGCAGGCATGTTTACTTCCCTGCAAGTAAAGCACTAGAGGAAGAAAAGCACAATACGCAAATTGCATTTTGGAAGTTATTAAACATAAAAAATTGCATAGAGATGATTAAACTTGCCAAGGAACAAGTGGAGTCATCCACAATGAATGCTTGCTGGCATCACGACTAGCCAGAAGTTGTCAACAGTTTTTAAAAAATTTCTGCTTTAATGTGAAGCCAAGGAAATTGTAAAAGCAGCAGGCACTAAAGGATTTCAGATACATAAGAAGGAAAAATTAAAGAATTAATCAAGAATGACAGTCATGAAATGACAAATGAGGAATTGGATGATCCTGCAACACCACTCAACAGTGAAAGCAGCGATAGTGAAGAAGATAAAGACTTTTTAAAGTACTAGAAATTAAACAAGTTGTTAAAAAAGGTAAAGGAACTGGCTGATTTTGTAATGGAGAAAACTAAATGAAGAAAGAAGAGGACATTTTTTGAGAGGCATTGAAAAACGTATCACTTCTTATTATGAAATTGTTAACGAGTTGCGTCAGACATAAAATGCATCAGCAAAAAATGCTATTTAAAACAATAATTGTATCATGTACCTATTTAATAAGCAGTAATAGATATCTTTTCTGTTATCATTTGGTTATTCCCGTTTTTAATTATAATAATATGTATGTTTATATAAATTATACATGCTTTCTTAATGTGTGAACTTATACCTAACCTGTTTTGTCATAGAAAGCTAACTTAGCAGATTGCGATTTTGCCATAGGTGCTGTGTGTTAGTAGCATAACTCCTGCATTCAGCAGGAGTTTATATTAATATGAAAAATTCCAAATTTTTTATGAGAGGTTTTGAAAACCTTTCTCCTCTTACTGCAAAATTTTTAATGAGTTGCATCAGATGACCAGCTATTTAAAAAAATAATTGTATCATGTACCTATTTATTAAAAAGTAATAGAAATTCTTTCAATTAAATTTTTTTTTTACTTTCCGTTTTTAATTATAATAACATTTTTG